TCTAAACAATGTCCTATTAATTTCCACCACAAAACGCTACTTTGATTTGGACGCGATCGATTATAGCGAAATCGACGATCTGGTCCATTTATTTTGTAATCCTTAGAGCATTTGTATCTTTTGCTTGGAAATGGCAGACCACCGCCATCAAAAAACTTCTAAATGTCCAAAGCAAATCTGCTACGGGTGTAAATTAATAGGACATTGTTTAGAGGAATGTCCTAACGAACATAGCTATGATGCATATGTATCTTCCCGCTGCTAATTCATAGGAATGGAGAAAATATTCTCTAAATGGGGACACTGGCGTTTCGGACATCGCCACCAACAGCCACTGCTATTGCTATAATTGTGGCGCAAAAGGCCACTTTGGAAATGTAAATATATCGATCTATTTATCACAGCGTTGCGAAAAATTTAAGGTGGATGCGGAGGAATCATTCCCCGGTCTCTTGACTATGGAAAAAATAGTGTCAAGGATCATTCCACCAAATTTCCAAAGGTTAAATAATTAATTTTTAGATTTTTTTTATGTTGAAATTTTTAACAGAAGGCATTCGAGGTATTTTTTCCTCATGGACTGCGCTTCAACTAGCCATGGAAGGCCAATGGGGCGGCACAGAAACGGACACCAAATACGTTTGGTTTGTACAAACCATCTCCGACTATTTAATAAAAGAAGGCGATAAAATCGACCCCATTGATATCGAAGAAATCCTGGAGCAAATTATTTCTGATGAATTTCTTGTACAGCTTGAGGATAATAGTGCGCTTCAAGTATTAACTCGCATGCATAACCTTAGGTATCCAATTCCATTATGAAGCTATATTATGAGCTCCGTCAGGGAAATCTTTCCATCTTAGAGAGTGTCCGAAATGCCTCGAAAAAGGCAGCCTGCACAAAAGAATGTCCCCCCCAGGGGCTCTCTTCGTCCGATTGCGATGAGGACAACCAGGCTGAGCTGCACGAATACAAACCAACCGATTTTAGTCCTCAAAATAATGACATGGATTTGGATAATCATCACCAGGACCTGGATTCTGAGGATGACGGATGGATAAAATATTAAACTTATTTATTACAAGCCCAATCAAAGGCCCACATCACGCCTGATCCCATCCCATCCGCTCACATCATATGTGTTGAAATCTATAGGGGGGAATGTCGTATATTTTGTCCCTAGATTCGATCCCATAAACGAATTGTTTCAATCCATGAAGAGGTCGACCGGCTGTGTAAAGTTCGGAGACGAATTTAGTCCAGGTGGATGTAAACCATGAAAAGGAAGCAACATGCAGATCATGGTTCTTAATCAACTTGGTGAGATTGAATATTCTATTTTCTGGATTCGAAAAATCGCTTTCAGAGCATTCCAATAATATTTGTGGGTCTGGGGCTATTTCTTTGGAATGAGAAAGTAGCACACAAGCATATCTGGAAAGCCCAATTCCCCTGGCCGGATGGGGAGGAAGATACGGCAGGATCTGATTGGGCGACTGGTCATTTATAACATATGGGGCTTCCATCTTCAAAGGGAAAGAGCCCTCAACCTCCTTCTGCGGAGGACCGTTCAAGTTAGCGACCATCCAAAGTGCCATTTGGTGCAACTTTTTATCATTTGAGGGCTTTGGATAATCACAATCAAGAAAGATAAAAGAGTACCACGGATTTGGCGGCGTATAGGAGGCCGTGGATAGGGTCGAAAACCGAACCACAGGCGCTTTAGCACACTATGATAAAAAATTTGCTCGTAAAACCTGTTCTGGATGCAAAAAGTGGCCCCGGCCAATAACATTGTCAGCAAAGGTGCATGCCATATTCAACATGGCCTCCGATTCATCAGGAAGAATATCAGGAATGAGCTTGTTTATTTTGGCTTGTAATCTAGTAACTTGAGGGCCTTGGTTTCTAACCCATTCATAATTGCTCATTTCGCAAAACTTTGGGATTTTCAGCTCGATCTTATTCAAGTTCCAATCCGACAACAGCCGGGGATCCGCTAACACAAGCTGATCCCGCATCCTATGGTCCTTCGAGTGCAACACAAGCTTCTGTTTAATTTCATTTTCTTTTTTCTGAAGAATCTCGATTGCAAGATCGTATGCCAACGCGCTTGCACCAGACAAGGATCGTCTACAAGCAGCAAATGCGACCATGAAAGTGAGTTGAGCTAAAAATTTATTTGCCGTGCTAGGGTATTGAATTTGAAAATTCCCCATCCACAGAGCGACCACCACCTACCACGGGGTCTATGTTAATGGCCATAGTGTAGTTAGTAACGTGTGCTCAATTTTATTAGACATCAAAGTGGAACTCAAAGCCTCCACCGCCCCCAAAAAAGTTGAAGATATCTTTAAAATCAAAATTCTGGCTATCCCTGCTATGAAACTGGGGATTTTGGCTTGGATTATTAACATCGTAACCATATTGATCATACTTTCTCTTTTCGGCAGGATCAGAAAGAACTTGATATGCTTGGTTGAGTTCTTGGAATTTCTTTGTGGCCTTGACGCTATTGTGATTTCGGTCTGGATGATATTTGGTAGCCAGTTTTCGATATGCCTTCTTGATATCTGAAACGGACGCAGATCGAGGGACCCCGAGAACTTGATAGTAGTCCTTGCTATTTTCCTTTGGCTCGACGGTTTTTTTCTTGAGAGATTCCAAGTCAGGATGCTCCGGGTAAAATCCGGAAAACTTTTCATACGCACTGGCAGCTAACAAGCAGGGGATGAGATAAAAATTCAAAACGAACCTTTTTCATAGTCCTCATTTTCAAAATAAGCCTCAATGGCGCACTTTAATAGTTTCGCGTTTGTGTCCTGAATTTGAAGACCAATTTCAGCCCACTTTATGGAATCACCAAAATCAGAGGCCCCCAGATACGCTTCAGCCAGTGCAGTTGCCACAAGGACTTTATAACCAATGGTCAATGGATACTCCTCCATATGCAATTTGGGGTTAAAATTGTCAGTTTCCCCCCAAAGTTCCAAAAGCTTAGGTATCTTTTGACTGGATTTCGCTATTGTACTGTTGTATTGCTTATCAAAATTCCTCATAAATCTGAACAAAGCCAAGCACTTGGGATTATCTGGATCAGACCTTAGACATGCCTGAACTGAAGAGAATCCCTTTTCTAAAGATCCAGCTGCAAGATTAGAACGTGCAGCAAGATATAAATATGAAACGTTGCGCCCAAGGTTGAAAGCCTGAACAAACTCGCTACCGGCAGTCTCATAGTCCTGCAGATAGATAGAAAAAAAAGCCCTTTTTTGTCTCAAATAAGAGGAGTAGGGAGAAATATGCCTCAATTCATGTATCAGGGAAATAGCCTCGCTAAATTCATTTATCTCAATAAAAAGATCGGCCTTTTTAAGGGTTGAAAGAGCCTCTTTAGCGCTAGCTATGAGGCTCTGACTCTCAGGTGTATCGACTCGGCGAAAATCTTCAATAGATTCATCATATTTTCCTAGTTTTAACAATAAGCTTCCTCTGGAAGAGTAGCCCTAAATTTAGCGTGCTAAACGAGTGAATACCTGAGTAAAGCTTTTGCTTTCACTGGATTTAATGGCTGATGTAAAATCGTTCAAAGCATCTTCAAAGTCAAATAATGCTTGAGAGGCAAGAGCCCGATAATAATAGGCCGTCTCTAAGTTTTCTCCGTTTTCTAGAAAAAATACAAAAACAAAGTACTAATTGCGGCAGTGCATCTATCTTTAACCCTTACATAGTCGCCGGTTTTCAAGAACTGTAAAAGCTCGGGCACATTTATGGATGATTTTTGACTCGATGCATCAGAAAAACACACAAAAAAGGCAGAAAACAAAAGGATGGCAAGGAACTGATAACTCGAGCTAAGATTGACCAATGTTGCCATAAGTAATTTTTTTTAAAATCCAAAAATTAATTTAATTTATTCAAATGTGCTGGAAATTGAGAATTTGCACTGTAAAGGTGTTCACAAAAGGCATGTGGTCAAATAGTTCACGATAAAAAGGAACCCGATGATGGTTACATAAAATTCTGAAATCAATGGCATGAAAATGCCTTTTGCCACTATTTATGGCAACATTAAGGAATTAAATTTTTAAAATAAAGCTAGGATTCGATGCCAAGGCCAATTGTCTTTTCTGGCCCCARTGRTTCTGGAAAGACTACGCTTTTAAATATGTTGACAAACAAGTATCCCAATATGTTTGCATATTCTATTGGATATACAACGCGTACGCCAAGAGCGGGAGAGGTTAATGGGATACATTATAATTTTGTGCCAAAGGAGACGTTTGAGGAAATGATTAAAAACAACGAGTTTTTGGAATGGTCTTGCTATTGCTGCAATTATTATGGGCAGGCAAAGAAAGGGGTCCAGGATATCATTGACCGTGGCATCAGCCCGATTTTAGCCATCGACATGAATGGGGTAATGTCCATTAAAAAGATGGGGGGATCTGCTTTGAGGCCCAAGTTTGTGTTTATCCAGACACCATCGCTTGCTGTTTTGGATGAGCGGCTGTCGGCTCGAGGTACAGAATCCGAGATGCTAAGATTAAAACGCCTTGAAGAAGCACAACGCGAGCTTGAATATGCGTATTCCTCGCCCGGTGTCTATGACCTTATTTTGATTAATGACAACATTGAGAGCTCTTTTGAGACTTTTGAAAAATTCGCCCTATCTGCTTGACGACGGAAAAAGCAAATAAAACCCCTTTGAGTGTTTATTAAGGATTGCTTAATTAAATGAATGACGATATCAACAAGATTAGCGGTTGGATTTGGCAACACGCTCAAGCTCGTCTTTCTTACGAATAGCATAACTGGAGGACGAACCCTTGGCGGCATTGATGAGCTCATCGGAAAGGCATTCTGCAATGCTTTTGACGTTTCTGAAAGCAGCCTCGCGGGAACCAATGGTAAGCAGGGCAATGGCTTGATTGACACGACGTAGAGGAGACACATCAACGGCTTGGCGACGAACAGCTCCAGATGATCCAATTCGGGTGGAATCTTCACGAGGCCCGGTATTCACAATTGCATCGACTACGACTTGGATGGGATTCTGATCGGTCATCAAGTTAATCAGCTCTAGCGCTTGCTTGACAATTCTGACGGCAAGAACCTTCTTTCCATTGTTGCGGCCATTCATCATTAAAGAGTTGGTAAGGCGCTCAACAATGGGGCATTTAGCCTTTCTGAATCTCTTTGACGCAAATCTTCCTGCAGAATGTGGAAGATAAACCTGGTTTCCAAGCTCGATATAATCAACGAGGGAAATATCGTTACACTTGACGCCATCGTAGGACCACTTGTTGAAAAGCTTAACTTGTAGTTGTTCAGAGTCTACCTCAGTCATTCCTATTTATGATTAGAGGAAAATATTTGAAGAACTAGAATGGATGAAAATGGGTATCAAAAGGATCAAAAGAATCTGATCATCATGTTACCTTTGTTTGAGAAAATTAATAAATAAAATTTAAAAATTAAAATTTTAATGCAATTGAAGCTCAGTATTGCTTCGAAATCGCCCTGGCAAGTTCCTGGAGGGATTCTGCATCGCCTTTTTTGGCCGGCCAATGAATGCCGAGGCCTTCATCTTTATTAGGCTTTGGGATTATGTGAAAGTGGACGTGCTCGATTTCCTAAGTTATATAGATGCTACCAATAAACCTGATGGGCCTCTCTGCCGTTGTTTTGCAGAATATTATACTCCGTGACTCCGGTGACCGAAATTGAGGCTTGGGCGATCTTTTTGGCGACAGGTAAAATCTCATCAAGATACGCGTCTGGAACTTCATGCACTTTGGCAGCATGGTATTTAGGGATGACCAAAATGTGGCCCATTGATAGGGGAAATAGATCCATAAATGCCAGCGTCTTTTGAGACTCGTAGACAATAGCAGAGGGTATTTCTTTCCTGATGATGCGACAAAACAGACAGGTTGCACACAATGAAGACATTGGTTGATTTAATAAAAACCCGAATTTTTATGATGATAAATTGTAATGGCCCCAAAAAATATGGGCTCAAAGGGAAGCTTCCTTGTCCATCGCCACAGCCACGGCCCGCGCCGATGCAAATATTTGATGAGGAGAGGAAAAAGGCGGCCCAAAACACTCTATTGTCGTATTTTACTTCGACCACGACATCTAATGATCCCTGGAGCCCTGCTAAAGACGAGCAACACGCACCTTTTGATGGAAATCGTAAAGAAAGCAAGCAATTATATTTGAGATTGGGACAAAAGGAAAATTTCCTTACTGAATGTCGCGAATGCTTCATGGCATATAACCCCTCATGTGTTGAGGACAGAAAGATACACAGCAAGTATCATAAGAAATGCTCTCTAAAGTAATTTATTTGCATTATATTCTTCATCCATGAGATGTCTCTCCAGGGATGAATATACATAGTGTACAAGATATTTGATAATAAACAGTGCCAGTATTATCAGGAATAGTATTAACGGAATTGAGCTCATGGGAATAACCTTGAACAGAACCGGCTCACTAACTAAATCCAAATGTACGCCAATCCGTTACCAATAATGAACTCGATCTCCGGGATCTTTGTCTTGAAGATATTTCTGTGGTCCACAACGGAAACAACCAATACATTTTTGTGAAATTTCAATTCAAAATCAATTGGATACTATGCAGACTTAACGGCCACATAAGCTTACATATGGGGAGTAGCATATCCGAACCTCACGGGAAGACCCCACTTGGCGGTCTATGGGAAATTCATAGGAATTGCCCACGAACTTGAGTCTATATTTGGCATAGTTTCCAGACATAATCCCACTGGAAGCATATCCAAATCCCGACCAAATAAAACACATCCAAAAAAAAAGCAAGTTGACAACATGCGCGGCTTCCATTACTTGTGGTGAACAGGGGACACGTAAAAATTTAAATTTCAAATAAAGCCTGCAAAATGAAAAGTAGCCGCCGTCTATCACACTACATTTCTCTGGCATCAAGTGCATCATATAGATATGCCAGCGGAACTTATTTGCTGGAAGGCTCAGAGCTAATACACGAATTCGTTTCACAAAACTCGCCCGTTCACGTCAAGTCGCTGTGCATGAGTAGAGACTTTCACTTGAATAAACTTCCCAACCTCGCTGGCGAAAGAAAAGCCGCTTTGGAAAGTGTTTTGGCAAACTTTGCTGCAAACGATCCGGCATATTTGAAGTCGTATCAAATTAACAGAATCACAGATAGCAATTCTGAGGGCATAGTAGCTGAGATTGAAATGATCGACCACAAATTTCCAAAGAAAAATATACTTATCCTTGATGGAATCAGAAACCCTGGAAACATGGGGGCGCTCCTAAGATCCGCCGTGTATTTCAATTGGGATACGGTGGTCGTGATTCCAGAAGCAGCGGATCCATTTGGGGTTGCCTGTGTAAGGGCCGCCAGAAACGCACAATCTTATGTTGGGATTGAAACTATCAAGCCCGAAGGTCTTGAAGAAATATTTTCGCCCGATAGAACGCTTTTTTTAGCGATTCCCAGCCCGGTTGAGCGGTTGAATTTGAACGAGTATGGCGACCTAATGAAGGCCGGCAGCAAGGTGCTGATATTGGGCTCTGAGTCGCATGGAATTTCCGAAAAGCTCCGAAACCACTGCAGAGAAGCAAAAAACGTCTACGAGGTGAATGTGTTAAATTTAAATCCAAAACAAATGGAGTCTTTAAATGTCTCAATAGCAGGGTCCATATTAATGTCCAAATTGCAGGACCTTAATGCTAATGAGGCGGTTCAAATTTCGAAATTAAACCGGTCAAATGTTTAAGCTTCATGCAAGCATCAATATCCGTGTCATGCATGTATCAATATCCATGGCATGCAAGCATCAATATCCATGTCATGCATGCATCAATATCCGTGTCATAAATCAATCAATCTTTCCAATACGGGATGGCCCGTTTTGAAAATTCTTTTCAGCGATGTCATCTTTGAGTTTAGAATCCACATCTGTTTCTGACAATTCTAGCATACAATCAGAAGATGGATCAGCTGGCTATTCACCCAATTCAGGATCCCTCAAGCAGTTTCTATTTCACTCGATGACAACAGAGCTTGAACTCATGAGTAACGAGCTGGATTTACTGGTTAAAACAGCAAGTGCCGATAAACAGGTAGCATGCGAAACCATATTTGTAGCCATCGTTCAGAAATGAGATGGATAGTTTCTATTCGATATTTGAGAGATTCTTGAACCAAAAAGACCGTGAAAAAGAGCTAGATTGGTATAAAATCAACAATTTAGGCCCCGATAAAGTAATCTTTCGCTTGCCCATGCATAGCTGATCCCTTATGCTGAACTGCCTGCTATTGAAGAAGATGATGCAAAAATTTGTCACCTGCTTTCAAAGCTTGCCGTGGTAAAACTCAATGGCGGGCTTGGCACATCGATGGGCTGTGTTGGGCCCAAATCCACCATTGAGATCCGAGATCGAATGACGATCCTTGATCTTACAATTCAGCAAATTGAAGTACAGACTGCTTGCGCTTACATTAGTCGATAAACCAGTCTTTCAATGTTGATGTTCCTCTTGTTTTAATGAATTCGTTCAATACTGATGCGGAAACCTCAAAAGTGATCAAAAAATATATGAAAAGAAGGGTCCCCATATTAACGTTCAACCAAAGCAAATTTCCCAGAATATGGAAGGATGATCTTTTGCCTGTACCCGCATCATTTTCGTCGCAAGGCACCCATTGGTTTGTTTGCTTTTTTAAACAATGCAGGTACCCCCCTGGCCATGGCGATATTTTTTGTGCTCTTAAAAGCTCTGGCGTGCTTGAGCAGCTAATCAGCAAGGGAAAGGAATACATTTTCATTTCCAATATCGATAACCTTGGTGCCACCATTGACTACAGTAAGCGATGCAGCCCATTGATTTGTAGATGTTTTAAACTTCCTATCCCAAAACAAATATGAATTTCTGATGGAGGTCACGGAAAAGACCAAGGCCGATATCAAGGGAGGCACTCTTGTTGAGTATAATGGAAATGTCCGACTTCTTGAAGTGGCCCAGGTGCCTGCGCAGCACGTATTGAGGTGTGTTAATTTCTAGTTGAAAGACTTTATGTCTATCAAGAAGTTTCGCGTGTTCAACACCAATAATGTTTGGATGTCTCTTTCRGTCCTCAATTCGATCGATTTTAACGATCTTGATCTGGAAATAATTGCCAATGTTAAGGTAGGTACTCCGGATTGGGCTCACCACCACGCTTTAGACTCTTGAACATTCTGATAAAAAAATAATTCAGCTCGAGACTGCGATGGGATCGGCAATTAAAAACTTTAAAAATGCCGTTGGGGTCACGGTTCCTAGATCTCGCTTTCTTCCCATTAAAGGATGCTCTGATCTGTTCCTACTTCAATCCGATCTGTATTCAAACGTGCGTGGAACTATGAAGCTCAATGCTAAGCGCCAAATCTCGTCGACCCCTCTTGTTAAGCTTGGTAGCTATTTTAAAAAGGTAATACGGGCTCCCCTTACATTGGCGGCTGTAGGTTGAAAGCTACATGAGTCGTTTTGCCTCTCCGCCGCATATCCTTGATCTGGACCATTTGACGGTTAGTGGAGATGTCACATTCGGTTCCGGTGTCGTCCTTAAGGTATTATCTGCACGGTTGTGCTAAAAACAGGGGACCGTTATCATTGTCGCAAACCATGGATGTCATATTGACATACCGTCTGGATCAATTCTGCACGACAATGTGATTTCTGGCAATTTGAGAATCATGGATCATTAGGCCAAGTGGCCATTGTAACAATAAAACAGCCTCTAAAACACCGGCCCCCCACCTGCAAAGATACAAAAACACCTGGATACGGCAACGGAATCCAATGGGTTGCTGTTAAGTATTCGTGTTTTATTAATTGCCAGTATCTACATTGAACCCAAAAAATTGCCAATAAAATTATTATGATGGGGCAATAAATATTCTATATTGTGATATACAAGCTAATAATCGGGAAGCGAAGCCAGCAGCGAATCGGCAATGATGGACTCGGTAGACTCTTCTTCGCCGTTAATATTACAAGAATGCCCAGATTTATCTGCATCAAAGACACTAATTTTACAGGAAAGCGAGTTGGATGCGAACTTTGCTTTAAAGTCGCCAGACTCTTGTTTTGAGCAGTGTTCGCAAAGGTAATCGTTGCTTTCGACCACCGAAACCGATCTGTCGTAAGCATAGATATCGAAGGTCTTTGAGGACTCCAAAGAGCAATTGGCACTTGAGGCAGAATAGGGGGTCGTCGGATGCGAAGGAAACCCTTTAAATTCTCGCGAGCTGGAGCTTGATGAGGGGAACGATAACGATTGGCTACGCCTGGTCCTCATCCAATCAAAACCAAAGCCCACCGGAACGGCGAAAGTGGCGTCTCCTGCAGAACTAATACTAGGCGGCGATGATGAGGCAGAGGATACAGCAGAATTAGATAATAATGATAAATTATGATTGGTTGTTGGATTTACAAGATGTTCTAGCGATTCAAAAAAATGCGGACCAGACGCAGAATCGACATTCGATTTTACAAGGAGATCTTTTTGAAAGCCGTGATGAACTGGGCCATTGAACTGGTTATCTGACTCTATCTTTGCTTGGCCCGGGGGTTTTCCATTCATAAGCGTGCCAGCCTCAAGGTGGATAAAGCAACATCGCTTTCCATATGGGCAGTTTCCGAGCTCCCAAAACGTTCGGCAGATTTCGGTTTTGTATCTTGGATGGCGAGGTATTATTCGCAGCTCGGACTTGTCGTGTGCAAATTGACACTTGACACCATATCGGCAGAAACCGGTCTCCTCAAATGTGCGGCAAAGCTCTGTCTTGTACAGCGATATTTTCTTTGGCAACGAGAGCAGCGAGTTGGATTCCGAGTAAAAAGGAACCTGGCCATTAGGCTTGATTGAGTGGAACGACTGAAACATATCCTGATTGGGCGAGCCCATATCACTAAAGTGGGATCCCTTCGATGAAAAGGAGTTGTGGTAGATGGAAGAATTTTCAAAGTGGTTCATTTGGGCAAACTTGTTTTCAAAATCTACATCCACTGCCGAGGAGGGCGAAGATGGCAGTGATAATCCAAACGAGGAGCCATACTCCGGGTCACCACTGCCACCATTAATCGAATCAATGGTCGAGTGTCTCCTTGGCGCATGTGTGGATTGGTACATTGGATACATATCAGCACTTGAATAGGAAGGGGCAAAGTTTCCCAAAATAAACATTGATTGAGTGGATGATGACCTCTCTTTTGGAGAAAATACAAATGATGATAGATTGTGATCGTTCTGATAGTGATTCTTGATACCAGTTTGATGACCCTCGCCATGAAATTCGTCCATCATGTATGCTGGCTCTGATTTGAAGGGAAATTCATCTTGATTGAGGAGACCCATATCAGACGATAAACGCGGGCTTTCCTTTGAAGGCGTTGTGGTTAGGATGGAATGAATACTGTCACTATCAAAACCTGATGGTGATGACATGGACAACATTGGACATTTTCTTTTGGCTGAATTAGGGATGGTAATTCTGATGTGTCTGATAAAAACGATAAACCGCGATCAGTAGGGTATGCGACGAAAGATGGGGAAAGCTGATATATGAAGGTCACTAAATTACCGGGAAATAAAATGACCAAATATCTGATGACGATCAGTGAATAAAAGTCAACTATGCGTGCGTATTATGATTACACATCCCGTTAACCCTAGTTTGTAGTTTTTAATTTTAATGGCAATCCTTTCTAAATTGACAAGCAAAGAGTTCCGGTCGTATCTGATGAGTACTCACTTCTGGGGGCCCGCCATAACATGGGGAATCCCCATCGCAGGCATTGCAGACATGAAAAAGAGCCCCGAACTTATATCGGGCAGAATGACGCTTGGTTCCTCTTATTCTTTTTACCCATAGCCTTGTGTATTTACTCGGCCTTGTTCATGCGATTTGCCTGGATGGTCAACCCGAGAAATCTGCAGCTAATGCTGGTACATGCGTCCAATGAGACCGTCCAATTGATACAGGGATTTCGTCTGGTCCAATACGAGCGATCAAAAATGGCCATCAGCTGATTTCCATTTCCGGACTACGGTGATGAATGATGGCAAAGGGTTAGTCCCTGTGTGGCCAAAATTAAATTTTAGCCCAATTTGCAGCAATTTAAATGTAGTACGACGCCATATAGCTTTTTGTCAAATACGATTGGTGCTAAACAGCCCCATCAGGATCAGTGATCGATGCATGTGAAAAGGGCCATGCTAGTCCCCAACCCTTCAACGCGATATTTGTGCCATGCCCTGACACAAATAAATGCGAATTAAATAATTTGGCAAAATATTTGTTGGCAACTCTATTATTGGACTCTTAAATACTTTTATTATAGAGTTTGCTGATCTGATCTATTCCCACCAGCTGACCTCCTTTAGAATGGATCCTGTCCCATCATTTCTTGCTACAGGCCCGTTTGACACTGCCGCCAACAACGGTGCATCTTCTTCTTTTTCTGTTCGCAACGAATCAGGATCGAGATCCTCCAATATTGTAACCAGTTTCTGATGTATAACCATAGGGGTCGAGGTTGTCTTTTCTGCAGCGTCTGACCAGGAGCTTCATTCTGGGCTGGAGAAGGTCCCCTGCAGCAACGATCATCTTCATCACCTCCTTCATCTTTGCCATATTCAAGGTTTCCCGTTTGCCCTCTTATTTCAATAGTTCACAGTGACCACAATTGTGTTGGGCATCAATTGGGACTCCCAATGCGATCGGCCTTTGTGGACATTTTTACTGATGTTAGACATCATCACTTTTATGAAGATCCCGTTTTTGCTTCTCGAAGCGATCTGGATGTTTCCTTTGGGCGTTAATTTTTATGCCACCTCTCGAGGACAATTTATCACATCCTCAAGGGACATCCTTGCCACTTGCCAACTTTTAATGCTATTCTTTGGCTCTGTTTGGGTCCTCTCCGCTAAGACATGCTCCACCACCGCGCCATCTCTGTATATCACCTCAATTGCGTGGATTATTTATGCATCCTTTTTGCTCTTCTTTCCTCTTTTTCTATGTTTTTTGGTTCTATTCTGCCTTCCGGTGGCCATTCTTATCATAAGAAGTCGAAATGGATTTGCCGCAGATCCCTTTGGGTCGACCTCTGGTGCGAGAGGCCTCTCTCCGGAAAGGATTTCTTCCATCCCCACTGAGGTTTATCACAAGAGTTCTTCTATAGACTCGCCCACTAGTTCGGATATTTGCATTCGAACTTCAGGGTCTCTTTTGCTAAGTGGAAGACAAAGGAATAATTCAAGCGGCGATGTTTGCGCCATTTGCCTGTCACCCTATGATAACAATAACATTCTTCGATGTCTTCCTTGCCAACATCGGTTCCACATCGAGTGCATAGACTCATGGCTTTCTGTTTCTGCAACGTGCCCTCTTTGTGTCAGACGGATTGGAGATGATGAGGCTACCACTCCTACCATTGAAGTTGGAGATTCAGCGATCCCTTCAGAGGGCCAAAGAGTTCCTTCCAATGCTAATATGTCTCCATCAGAAATGATGGTTCCGTTCGCCTCAATTGTGTAAATAAATAACCGATTAATTTTAACGAGGAGAACGGAGAGAGGCGGTGTTTGGGACACCAAAACCGCATACCCTGCTGTTGAGGTTTAAGCTATCGCGGTTTTGAAGTTTTTACCTTTTCAATACGCGGTTTTTCAAAGGGAATACGGGGATTTATTGTGTCCATTTAAGGTTAATGATTAACTGTTGCGGGTGGAAAGCCCACCCGTTGATCCGAGTCTAATGAGATTTTGTGCATTCAAGGGTCGACGTCCACCCCTCCCCCTAGAGGAGCCTCTTGCGCGTCTAGATGTGTTGTAAACCGGTCTCTCTGACTTTCTTGATCTAAGTGAAGACACTCTGTGGCGGAATAATTCGTCATCTTCTTCTTCTGACGCTTGGTTGGAACCGGAACTGGAGGAATTGTCATCTAGAGTCAAGTATAGGAAATTACCCTGAGTGTGGTTATATTTTGCCTTCGGTTTTCGGCCTCTTTTTTTTTGTGGGGCTGGGATTTTTTTCTTCGTTTCCGATCTGGATTCCTTATCAGAAAATGGATTCATGTTTTCGTTTTCGTCTTCATCTTCGGAAGATGTGTTGATATTTTCATCCTCATCTCTATCCTGGGACAGGTTATCTTCATTTGACGACGACGACGAAGAAGAAGAAGAAGAAGAAGAAGTAAATGCCGGTTTTGGTGAATATTTTTCCGTTTGAAACTTTTTTCTATCACCGAGAGTTTCTTCTTCTGCCTCGGATTCTTCATTGCCGCTTGTGGCGGAGGATTCGCTTACTTGAAATCTTCTTATTGCATGGGAAGACTGGTAAGAAGCCGATGCTCTTCCTCGTTTGTATCCTCTTCCCCCTCTTCTCTTGCCATAAGCTCCGCGACGTCTACCTGAACCACGGGGTCGTCCGACCTTTGAAGCCGGTTGAAATGTTGTTTTGGCGTCCCCACCACCGCCACCGCCACCAGCATCACGGTCTTCGTCATCATGCGTGTTATGATATGCCTCTATTTTTGCTGGATAAAGGTTGCTCGACACCTGAGCCGATCTACTTGAATAAATCAAATCAGTCTCTTCATCGGCACTGAGTGGGTGGTGATTCTGATGGCTTTCGAGATCTTTTCCGTATTCAAATAAAGACGAAATAGATGAATTTACAGGAAGTATCATATTTGTGGCCGTGCTGGTAAGGCTGCTCAACGGCGGTGTTATCAACTGAGATTCTTTGGGAAAGACTCCATTGATTTCATTTAAAAACAAAACTTTGCTCCAATTGACATCTTGGAATAAGAAAACGTTTGGTCCCACAATACTGGCTGATTTTGGCATGCTTTTAAACACCTCGAAATTCTTGTTCGTAGTGGAGGAAGAGAATAAAGACTTTTTGTCTGGCGATGCCGAATTGTGATGGCATTTAAAAGACGAAGGCGAGAGCAAAAATCTTTTTCTCCCTATTTTGTGGCCACAATTGTCATAAAACCTTTCTGAATATAAATAGCTGTGTTGATCCTTTCCCACTCGTGAATAGGGATCTGGAGATGTTTCCATGTAATAAAAAATTAAAACAATGACAAGCCAAATAGAAAAGCTGATTTTACGTTTTTAAAACTGACAAATAACAAATATTTTTGTACCATTTATCAGATTTTTATTTTGCAAAATGGACATTAATTTTAATGCCCATTTTTTCCAGGCTGTTGAGTCCGAATTGAGCGCCAAGGATGACATGTCATTTTATAACGATCGTGATAGCGATGATGGAGAAAAATATGCAAAGGAAGAAAATAGTAGCTGTTGCGATCAATTCTCAAAGGCCAGTCAAAATGGAGATGTTTTTCCTGTGGACTCGAGAAAATCGCGGATCGAGGCGGATGACACAAGCTCTAAAGATTCAAAAGCCTCTTTGCAATCGAGCATTGAAAAGCCGAAAGTTTCTGCCGAAGAGTACGATTACTTTAAAAAGTTAGCTTTTTTTGCTTCCAACAAAAACGCGAACACCTCGCAAATGTACTGTGATTTGCATTTAATTTATAGACAAATGCACAGGAATCTCCAAATATCGTCTGCATTTTTTTTT